TTGCTTGTATTTTTTTTTTTTGCTGTTCTGTCTCATGGCTTCTTCCATCTGTTCCTTTCATTCTGCAGATGAAGCCATCGCGTTGATCTTTTGATCTTCGTGACATCTGTTGTCTTCTTCTACCTTGTGGGCTCTAGGGATCAAACTCCCGGCTCCAGGCTTGCACAGAAAGAGCCTTCTCATATTGAGCCATCTTAGAGTTCAGGTTGTACGGTTCAAACTCTGCTTCCGTGTGTCTCACTAGGTTCTTCTCCATACTTTTTATGCTTTTGCTGAGATTTTATTGACTACTTCAAGTGTGGTCAAAATCACTTTGTGAAGCTTTCTGTTGCTGTTGTTATAGCTGCTTATAAATGGGTTTTAGATAACTCCAACATTTCTTTTGGCATATATGGATTCTTTTTCATTCAGCTTGAGATAGACTTGGTTCTTTGTGGAATGATTTTCAGTAATGACCTAGACAATTTGTTCCATTAAAAGACTCATTGGGCCTTATTTAAAATATCCTTTGTGGCTGACTTTCTTTGATATCATCCCCAGGAAATAAAACATATCATTGCCTCATGCTGAGGGGCAGGAGTAAAAATCCACTTCCCCAGTTAGCCATTGCTAACTGAAGCAGGTAAAACTACTCTTCCCTATTGCTGGGAGGGGATGGGAGTCTTGGGCCTCCTGTACACTCTTCCACCTGATACTGCTGCAGGCGGGGAGAAGCAGGAGGTCCGTCTTGCTCCCCATGTAGCAAGGTGGATGGGTGAGGGCTGGGATGTGCAGTCTTGTTTTTGCTGAATACGGATGGAAATTTCTACTCCCTGAGTAGTTAGGAGCCTAGGCTACTATGCAGTTTCTCCCAGCATTGCTAGGACAGGGGAAGGTAACTCCCTATCACAACCTGGAAGGAAAGAACACCGGTGCCCTGCTCAGTCTTTGCTAGCATGGGCAAAGGTGAAGCTATAGGTTTTCCTGTGGAGTTTAGTTGGAACCGTGTAGTTCTAGGACATTGGTTGGAGACACCAGGCTGTTCATATTTTGGTATTTCTTCAACTCACAGGTCTGGAACATATGAGGCAAAATGAAAACTCAAGGAACTCAGGATTGTGTGGGTTTATTTTGGCTCCTGAGCTGAGAGCTGGTCTGACTCTTTGTAGAATTCTCTGCTTGTCCCACACAGAATATTTAGTGTTTTAGTTGTACTTAAGAGATGGGGAAGTTCCCTTTACTTCTGTCAGCTTTATTTTGTATATATTATTTTGGCCAGTAGTTTCCACAAAGGTTAGACAAAGGAATGAGTCTATATTTATTTCATGGAGCAAAGGACAGTGCAGGAGAAGAATGGAATCTGGATGTGGAGTGAAAACATCCCACTTGCTGTCTTCTATTTGGACATTGTATTGACTATATCCTTAATCATAAAATAGAAGACACTGGTCCTGGCCTCAAGTGGCATGTAGTCCAATTAGGAAGCCAAGGTTAAATTTCAAAATGGACACTCCTTACAGAACATGGCAATTGTGCTCAGAAAGAACAAATTGGGATATGGTGGGGGGAGGTAGCTGGTGAGACAGCTAAGCTCAAGGGGGTGGGGCTGACAGTGGCGCATGCCAATATTAATAATAAGAGCCACAGTATTGAGTTACAGAGTATTAGAGTTACAGAGTTAGTATTAGAGTTACAGAGTATTAGAGGGGTGGGGCTGACAGTGGCGCATGCCAATATTAATAATAAGAGCCACAGTATTGAGTTACAGAGTATTAGATCCTGGGTTACTTTGCCCAACACCTTGCATGAATGGTTTCATGTAATTTTCCCTTATAACAATGCCTGGGAAGCATGAGTTACTTCTGAATTTATAGACAAGGAAACCGAGACTGACAGGAAACCCCAGATCCATGTCAAGGCTGGTCTGAAACATCTTAAACATTGTCTCAGAATACCTGCTGTCATGGCTAGAACATGGATTTACTTGGTCATGAAGACAGTAATATGGGAAACGAGGCTGGATCTGTGAGAGCTTGCATTTGTGAGCAGGGGTCCCTGAGTATGTTTGAGTGGATAAAGGAGGTGGTATATATAGCAGGTCTATTTAAGGACAGCTGGTAGAGGGGACCTAGGACAGGAAGAAAACAGGATAGGGACAGAGGTCTGATTTCCATTGTGTAAGCAGAGTGGATGTCACACTGACCTCTGTACAAAAGTACCCATCTGGTTATGTTTGACGCTGTTTAATAGTTACTAGCAAGACAAAAATCCTCTAATGGCACTTACAGTCTATCTTTTCCCTTCCCCGTTTCATGCAGATCCTGCCATAGGGCTGTGGGATGGTGCGGCCAGTCAAGGTGCTCACTACTGGATGACGCAAGCTTGACAACCTGAGTCAAATCTCTGTACTCTGACCTCCACGTGGGCACTGTGGCATGTGTTCCCTCCCCCAACACAGACAATAACAACCAAAATAACTTTTAAACTTTCCATCAAGTTTTTTTTCTTTAAGAAAACATTTGGTGGTTCAGTTGAAGCTGAGAGATAGGATGGGTTAATTTCTATTGTTGCTGCCTCCTTATCTTTAAAAAGTCATATTACTGAGTCATGTTTAGCAATTCATATAGTGCCTAGTTAAGCTAATTAGGCTCAATGTGGGTAGACAAAATGACATCACATGCCTCCTTCAAAAGAGACAGAGAAGACATAGAGCAAAGGATTACCAGCCTACAACCCACACCTCCAGAGAAGCTAGGAAACGAGGAGGACACCGAGAGAGACATACATGGTCCCCCGGAGAAGGGGAAAGGGACAAGATCTCCTGAGCAATTTGGGAGCATGGGAGAGGGGATAGGGAGTTAGGAGAAAGTGAAGTAGAGAAGATGAGGAGAGAGGAGGACATGAGGGAGCAGGAAGATTGAGTCAGGGGAGGAATAGAGGAGAGCAAGAAAAGAGATACCATATTAGAGGGAGCCATTATTGGTTTAAAGAGGAATCTGACACTAGGGAAATGTCCAGAGATCTACAAGGATGACCCCAACTAAGATTCTAAGCAATAGTGAAGAGGCTGTCCTAAATGCCCTTCCCCTATAATGAGATTGATGACTACCTTATATGCCATCCTAGAGCCTTCAGGCCTGACAGTCCATGAGAACCTTGCGGGCCTGGAAGCTGACGACCGAGCTCAGGTTGCTCTCCTGGACCTTCTTCTGACTTTCCACCAGGTGCTGCTGCCTCTTGTGACAGGCCACCTCCAGCCTCTTCTGCAGCTGGAGCCTGTTCAGGTCCTGCAGACTCTGCAGCACCCAGTAGCTGATGGAATCAGAAGCAGACACCCACAGCTAAGCACTGAGCCGATTTCCTGGAATCCAGTTGTAGAGAGGGAGGAGTGATGAGCAAAGGGGTCAAAACCAGGCTGGTGAAACCCACAGAAACAGCTGATCAGAACAAGGGGGAGCTCATGGACCCCAGACTGATAGTTGGGAAACCAGCATAGGACAGAACCAGGCCCTCTGAACATGGGTGTCAGTTAGGTGGCCTGGGCAATCTAAGGGGTCCCTGGTAGTGGAACAGTATTTATCCTTAGTGTATGAATTGATATTGGGAGCCTATTCCCTATAGAGAGATACTCTCTCAGCCTAGACACATGGGGAAGAACCTAGGCCCTGCCCCAAATGTTGTGACAGACTTTGAAGATCCCCCCCTTAGAAGGCTTCACCCTTTCTATGGAGCAGAAGAGGGATAGGATGGGGGGTCAGTGTGGGGAATTGGAGGATGGGAGGGAGAGGGAACTGGAATTGATATATAAAATAAGATTATTTCTAATTTAAATACATTTTTAAAAGAAGAGACAAGAAATAGAGGGGAAAAGAGAAATGCTATAGAGCCTCGATGCATAAGGCTGGATGGGAGCAGTCCTCAGCTCCCCACCCCAGCTCCTCACCCCCCAGCTCCCCACCCCCATCCTCCACCCCTATCCCACCACACCCCACTTTCCTATCCCCAGTCCAAGAAAGACCAAATATATTCTAGTGACTTCTTTTCTTTTGAGATAAGGCCTCACTGTGTAGCCCGGGCTGGTCCTGGAAGTCACTGTGTCATAGCCCATACTGGCCTGTAGTGCTGGTATTATAGAGTGTGTGCCTGCTGGGTTTCACTGAGCTCTTAGATACCTGTCTGGTGGGACAGTTGACACGCAGACCTAGTGGGTTATAAACAATATTGCCGTTGAGTAGGGATGGCCAAAGAACTCCTCAGTCTGGGAGGAACTATGGAAGCGCGCGCGCGCACACACACACACACACACACACACACACTTCATCACTGACCATCAATCCCATGGAATGACCTGAGAAAGGAAACAGAAAAGGAGAGGGTGGGGCCGAGGTTTGTCACTAACACTAGATGAGGTTAATGAGTATCCACACTGCAGGGTTTTAAGTTTAAGCGTGCATCACAACCTCTTCTGCATATTAGAATATGCAGATTCCCAAATCTAGTTGCTTGCAAAGTCCCCTAGTCCACCTTTGCTTTTACCCTCACTTTGCCAACCTCACCGTTCTCATTGTAGATTAGCACAACGTTTACCAAGTCGTATCATAAAACGCTATTTCCAGTTGTAATATGTATGTATGTATGTATGTATGTATGTATGTATGTATGTATGCATGTGTGCATGTATGTATTTTGAGACAGGGTTTCTCTGTGTAGCCCTTGGCTGCCCTGGAGCTCCCTCTTTAGACCAGGCTGGCCCGGAACTCACAGAGATTTGCCTGCCTCTGTGCCTTTGCCTCCTGAGTGCTGGGATTAAAGGTTTGCTCCCCCCCCCGCTACTCCCAATTGTGCATGTTCTGACTCCTCTAACTCCTGCCTCATGTTGTCTTTCTAGACTCTTTGAAAGGCAAATGAGTGTTTTCTGTTCCACCTCAAAACTCAAAAGCAATTTTCATACCTGCCCCACCCCCCCACTCTCTCTCCCCAACCCCATCCACACCATCCAAGTGAATCAATGAACTAATTCATGGGAGGCAACTGCAGCTATTTTATATATTTTCTTAAAAATCAATGCACGGTTAAAATCAGATTATAAAGCAGAGTCGCATGGTGACGATGACGTGTCTGGCTGCCGGGTGGTGCCCTGTTCCTCCTGGGTTCTCAGTAGATTCCACTCTGATGGTGCACAGGCAGCTGCGGCTCTGCTGCCATGTGGTCAAAGCAGCGGTCTGTCTTGGAGGCCGAGGGAACCTTCTGGAACTCCTGGAAGATGGGATCGTTCCCTCGGGTCATCGGCCCCACCCTTTGCTCCTTCTTCTTGATGGCTTCCTTGATGCCCTCAATGTGATACTTCTCCTCCTTCTCCGCTTTCAGCTTCAAGATGTGGTGGTTCCTCTCCCGCAGGATGTTCAGCTCCTGCAGGTGCTGCGCTCTGTCCCTGTCGGTCTTGTGCGCCTGACACCTGGCCTGCCTGATCTTCTGCTCAGCCAGCTCTGCCAGTACCCGCTTGCTCTCTTGGCGCCGCTCCTCTGCCTCCTCCGCTCGCCATCTCGCTCGCTGGAACTGCTGGGCCTCCTTCTGCGCCTTCCCCTGCTGTTCTCGATGCCTCTCCTTAGCCAGATCTTCTTGGATGTCCTGGGAGCGCTGGGAACTCTGTTCGAGCGACAGCTTCCTAAGGAGCTCTTCCGCTTTGGCCTGACAGTCCATGAGAACCTTGCGGGCCTGGAAGTTGACGACCGAGCTCAGGTTGCTCTCCTGGACCTTCTTCTGACTCTCTGCCAGGTGCCTCTTTTGACAGGCCACCTCCAGCCTCTTCTGCAGCTGGAGCCTGTTCAGGTCCCGCAGGCTCTGCAGCACCCTCTGCTGCTCCCGCAGACGCTGCAGTTGGCACTGTTTGAGTTGCTCAGACCTGTCTAGCTTGTCCAGGTCTGGGTTCTCCGGGTTGTCAGGTGGCACAGGCCACCGACTCTCGCTCTCCGACTGGATGGCGCTCTTCTCCTGGCAGTCCCGCAGCTGGCCGGGTTGCTCGCGGCCCTGGCAAAGCTGCTCATGGTCCCTCCGTGGCTTGTGCTGGTCCTTCTGTCCTTGCCACTGCTCCTGGCTCTGCTGCAGCAACAGCCTGCGCTCTCTCTCCAGGGTCAGGTGGACTTTCTGGTCTGAGCGCTTCAGCTCTTCCCAGGCGACTGCTGCCTGTTGCTGCAGCTCTCGCATCTTCTGGGCCTTCTGGAGCCGGCTCAGCACCAGAGCCACGATCTTCTGGTCCCTGGAGGATATCACTGCTTCGTCCAGCTTGCTTTTGAGGACCTGAGCGTGCTGGCTACTCGTCTCTTTGCAGGAGGTGGAGGGTTGGGAGTACTGGTTGGCTAAGGACTCAGTCCGGTCACCACTACCCCTCTTCTGGGTGCACACACAGGTGGATTGCTTCCGGGACTCGAGGGAGTGCACAGAAGACTTGTCGGTGAGAACCGAGGAAGGGGACCAGAGACCTACATGTCTGCGCACCGGCACTGCCCACCGGTCTCCGTTGTGTGTCTTTTCTAAAAGCAAACTCTGGGGGCTGAAAGCTCCCCCAGGGTACGGCGGGGAGGAAGCTCCTGGGGCTTCAGGGTAGCGGGGGCGGGGCTGATCGGGTGGCTGCTGCTGCTGCTGCTGCCAGGTCCTGCTGGACTTGGTGGGCGCCTCTTCGTCCAGCTGCCTGCTGCCGGACCTGTGCTTCCTGGCGCGGTCCGACGGTCTCCGGGCCACGTGTGTCAGGCTGTGGCTCTCTCGTGGCAAGGACATATAGCCACGCCGGCGGGACCGCCCGGTGGGTGAACATTTCTGGTGCCCCCAGGGCAATCCGGTCTCGATTTCCGCACCTGGAGTCTGGGCCCAGGGACTCAGGGACAGCTCAGGCCAGCCCAGCGGTGCGTCGGATTCCTGCTCCCCACCGGTCGAGGGCTCCCCATGCTCCGCATAGGGACATGAGGAGAAGAGGTGGAAGCCGGCCATGCTCTCTTCCCGGGGGGCCCAGAGTCTACAGGAAGGTCAGGGGACCTCCTGGGGGCCACTGAGAACACCCACCCTACTCTCAGATCCCGGGACCCACGTGGCCTGTGACGCTCCCGCCACTTCACAATGCATCCCTGCGCCATCGGGTCTTTGAAGGCCTCAGCTCACTGGGGCTTTGAGGAGAGGGAACAGAGTGGGTGAAAAGATGCCTCGGGGGAGACACTTGGCAGTCTAGGAAATCAAGGGTGGTATTAGAAATGGGGATCGTGATGCCACGGGCGTTTCAGCTCCCTGAATTACTGGAACAGTGAGAGCCCCTAGGCCAAGGGTGACGTGCTAAAAATAGAATACAGTGGGAGGGAGGGACAAAGTGCAGTGTCGAGGACCTAGGATGGTGCTTGTCCTTGGAGTCGCATCACTTTTTATTTTTACATTTGTTTGTGTGCGTGTGTGTATGTGTGTATGAACAAATACAAGCCGTAGCCGCCATGTGGGCGGCAGGAGTCGGTTCTTTACACCATGTGAATTCCAACTTCCTTTACTGGCCAAGCATCCCGCCCACCTACCTCACTCTTCCGGATCTGTGCAGGCAAGGGCAAGGGCAAGGGCAAGGGCAAGGGCAAGGGCAAGGGCAATGGCCGAGAAAGAACACTGATTGGGACCTCAGTAAGCCCAAGGGTTGCTTCCCTGTTAGCCTTTGTAAACTTTAAAACAGCAGGAGGCCGTTCTGATTTTCATCTAATGTGCCAGTTCCAGCTTTTATCAAAATGTGAGTTTTGTCCGAACTTTTTGCAATAGCCCCCAAAGATTTCATTTATTTGACATTTGTCTTTTTTCTCTACTTTTGTGTGTGCCCCCCCCCCACTTGCCTAGAGGCAAATGAGTCTGAGTCCTTCCTCTTACTTTCAAACCATGTGATGTTGGGCAGGTCACTCCCTGACACTCAAGTTCTGAAAAGTTGGGCCATTATGAAGGCAAAGTGAAATGAAATATGTGGAAAACCTGGCCCCACAATGCATTGGATAATGATGCCCTACTAAGCTCCAATTAAAGGTTCTAACACTTAATACATTAGTTTACAAAATGTCTGCAGCTTCTAGCTGAAGAAAAGAGTTTCCGGATTAATGTAACTTGAATGAAGTTTCGGTGAAGTGCAGAGAGCGGTGACTCTCAGGTTCTGTCACAGCAAACTCTGGGATTCGGTCGTTTTCCTCATCTAGGGTTGCTATGGTCTGGATGTATGCCCCCAAACCTCCTGCTTTGAAATCTAATCACAATGCTGGCATTAAGAGGTAGGGGCCATTGACAAGATGGTTTAGTCATAAGGGTGGAACCCTCATAAATGGATGGGTGCCCTTGCTCCAGAACTTCATTCCAGTTTATAGGAATCGGCCCCCAGATGGCGTGATACAGAAAACAGTAGCAGGCACACCTCAGACTGCACTGAGTACCGCTTGTTAGGGACTCACTGGCAGGTGTGTGGTCCTAGGTCGTAATATGAATATTGAGTTGTCCTTGATTGGGTTAGGAGACTTTGATAGTGGTCAGAACCAAAAGTGACTTCACTTAAGTCAGAATGTACCTGGTTTATCTTAAGGCAATATCAAGGATGCCAGGAATGTTTCTGGTGCTCATGACACCAAGATCTGGCTTGTAAAGCTCTTCCTGTTGGCTTGTTTATGAAGATCACCTGTGGCTCTCAGGCCACACCCCCCCGCATAGCTATAAATATGGCCCAGCACAGAACTGCTAACTTAAAAGGGGTGTGTGTGTGTGTGCGTGTGTGTGTGCTGTGTGTGGGGTGTGTGTGTGTGTGTGTGCTGTGTGCTGTGTGTGGGGTGTGTGTGTGTATGTGTGTGGGGTGTGCGTGTGTGTATGTGTGTATGTGTGTGTGTGTGGTGTGTGTGTATGTGTATGTGTGTGCATGTGTGCGTGTGTGTATGTGTGTATGTGTGTGTGACTCCACTACCCAATTCTCAAGTGTGTACTTTGTAGGTGACAGCACGGTTCCACAACATCAAAAGGTTTTACAGGCTTGAAAGCTTGAAGACTATGTGAAGCAGCCAGCCGAGGCTACCCAGGAGCCATCACAGTGGTTATCACTCATAGTGACTGGTAACTTCACACTGAAGCCCTACAGCCCATGCAAAAGGTGAGCCAAGGAGATGTCTCGGCCTCGAAGGCAGGAAGGCTCAGCCACACCCTCTCTGAGGGAAGGTCTTCGTTTCATGGCTAACCCTTAATGGCTGGCAGATGTTGCACAGAGCCCGGAACGATGTCCGGGACAAACTGGGGAAACACAAAAGGAAAGCTGTTTGAGAAGCCTTGGAGCACAACACACCTGTGTCTCTGGATCCCCATACGGCTCCTTGGAGGGCCCCAGATTGCAAATCACATCAGGGCTCCCAGGAGCACATGAAAGACATGCTTTGTGAATGCTAAGCTGCCCAGCATCCCCTCGATGCTAGGAACAGTCAGTCTCCTTTTTATATGGCAGTGAAATCCTCAACGGATTGCATTGTGTGTCTCAGAGTGTGGCCTTCTGCCAAAGGGAGACCCAGGTAGGCCTTCTTTCTTCCTTTGGTGGAGGGTTGAAAAATATGCTCTGACCCCACAAGAGAATCCACAGGATGGAAGTGTGCTCTGTGTGCTTATGGTTCCTGTGGAAACTTGAAACATTCTCTCTCTCTCTCTCTCTCTGAATAGCTCTTAATGCTTAGATGAGTTACAGGAGAGAAATTAGTTAGATACTGACATGTGGCATGGGCACTTGAACACAGATTGTTCAAACAGACATGGCCTTAAGTATAAAATGTATTCTGGAGGCCTGAGAGAGGGCTCGGCAGTTACGAGCACTTTCTGCTCTTGCAGAGGACATGAGTTCTGTTCTCAGCGGCCATGATGAACAACTCACAACCGTCCCCAGCTCCAGGGGATCTGATGTCCTTTTAGGACTCCACTGGCACACACTTGGTATACACAATAAACAGAAATAAATCTTGTAAAATGAAATACAACCAAATACAACCAAAATACACATTGGATTCTAAAAATGTAACACAGAGAATAGCACAATCCACCAGTGCTTTTAATTTTACACTGGTTACATTTAACATGATGGTATTTCAAGTCCATCAGATTAATGCAATATATTACCAAAATTAATTTCATGCTGCTTCCACTTGTTCAGATATGAACTAGGAGATTTAAATTGACATATGTGTGGATGTAATGTACATTATGGTATGCTTATTTTGTGTGAAAGAGATTTTTAAAGTTTAACTGACACATAAAAATTACAAATCCATGGAATGCTGTGTAATATTTTGATATATTCACACATCATGGGATGTTTAGATCAGTATAAACAAATATGTCTCCTCAAACATTCATTATCCCTTTATGGCAGAACTTATGAAATCATTTTGTCTCCCTTTCTGACATGTACAGTACACAATTGTTATCTATAGTCACCCACTGTTCGTAGCTCTGGAGAGCCGTGCTGTCACGTGACTGTTACTTAGCACCCATTGATCAACCTCTCCCTATCCTGATCTGTTTCTATTGGACAGAGCTTCTCTAAGTACTGCAAACTTCCCTGTGCTCAGGCTGTAAATAAAAGCTTTTGGCACACCCATGGCTTTTGTTTTATAGAAATTTATTGCTTTGAAATCTCTTTTTTGTGACTCACACACACACACACACACACACACACACACACGTTAAGGTCAGAGATCAAAGTTGGCTATCATTCCTCAGGCACCCTCCATCTTTCATCTGAGACAGGGTCTCTCCCCCGGGCTGAGACTTGTCTAGCTAGGCTAGTCTAGCTTGTATTTGAGCCTCCACAAACCCATTTGTCTCCAGCTCTCCTTTCCATTACTCGGATTACCCATGCTCACTGTGTTAAAAAAGATAATTATTTACTTTTTACTTTTAAAACAATCTTATTTTACATACCAATCCCAGATCCCTCTCCCTCCTGTCCTTCCACTCCCCCACCATCTCTCCATCCTACCCCTATTTACTATGCAAAGATGGTGAAGTCTCCCATGGGGGAATCATCAAAGCGTGTCACATCATTTGGTGCAGGACCGAGACTTTCCCCCCTGTGTCTAGGCTGAGCAAGGCATCCCTCCATAGAGAATGGGCTCCAGAAAGCCAGTTTATGCACTAGGGATAAATACTGGTTCCACTGTGAGCAGCCCCATAGACTGCCCAAGCCCCCCAATTGACACCCAGATTCAAGGAGCCTAGTTTGGTCTTATGAGGGTTCCTTAGCTGTCATTCTGGAATCCGTGAGCTCCCACTTGCTCAGATCAGCTGTTTCTGTGGGTTTCCCCAACAGGGTCTTGACCCCTTTGCTCATCACTCCTCTCTCTCTACAACTAGACTCCAGGACCGAATCTGACTTTTTATGTGCACTCTGGGGATCTAAGCTGAGGTCCTCACATCTCCAAGGTAAATATTTTCGTGACTGAGCCATCTCTCCAGCCCCTAAAGTCACCTTTTCTAACAGGATAAACTTTAAGTCAGGAGGGTTTTTGTTTTGTTTTGTTGGTTGCCAATTCCTGAATGGTAGAAAAAATGATAATTTTCAAAATTCAGTTTCGTGATATATTTTTTGTGCCACAGGATTCAGGGGTCTTTATAGCCCACCTCCACTGTTTCCCTAATATACAGTAAAACTCATGTCTCTGAGTAACAATAGCTAAAAACACAGACCTGGTCGGCTCTCTGCATCTGCCTACAGTGCGCAGTAGACTCACCAAAGACATCAGGAATGCAGAACAATAAAAAACCAAACGTACAAACACTCAGAGAGATAAATGAAAAACAACTTAGAATGTATTTATGCTAATAGAGCCCTAAGCATGAACATTCTAGCCTGTAAACAACTTCTTCCTAAAAAAAAAAAAGAAGAAAGAAAAAGAAAATGGTAGGTTAAGAACCTGGGAATAGGCAAGTTCAGTTGTCATGGAAACAATCAGTGCAAATATTCCATGTGGATGAGAGGTTATGTGTGTAAAAATGATGGCTGACACACCTCAAGCATGTGCTTGAGTATGCTTGAGTGCTTTATATGTA